CTTTTGAAAGGGTACAGCCCCAGTGACAGCTTTTGTACCATTTTTATAAGAATTAGTGAACAGTCCTATAGACTCTGTCATCACTCTTCCATTCATCTCTTTGTTTCTCTTATATTTCAGAGGCTTTTGACATGGTCCTCCGTCTGGGTCGTAATTCCACTCTGACGCTGTTACGGGAGGAGTTTCCCAATTTGGGGGCCGGAGCCAGTGGAGCCGTCACACAGTTATTCCTGGAAATGTCCCTCTACATCCTGGGCTCTGATGCTAACGTAAACGACATGGTCTCAACCTTCTTCTCCCGACTTTTTCCTTTCACCTACCAGCGTCTCCTTGGCAACGGGGCAGTGACAAGCATCTCGGAGGAATGCCTCCGTGGGGCCTGGAGTGGAACCTCTGCATTCGGATCGTTTCCCAAGATGATGATGACCCGGCTGTCTCGCTCGCTCCTGGCCACTCGGGTCTTCCTGCAAGCGCTGAACCTGGGCATCGAAGTGGTCAACACCACCCAGCACCTGCGTGCGGGCAGGGACTGCGGCCGCTCGCTGCTGAAGCTCTGGTACTGCCCGCACTGTCAAGGCCTGCTGGAGGCCCGGCCGTGCCGCTCACTGTGTGTCAGCACCATGGGGGCGTGTCTGGGGGGAGCGATGGAGGTGCAGCCTCACTGGAGGTCATACGTGGAGGAACTGGGGTCACTCGCTGCTGCCATGAAGGGGGAGCAGGACATCGAGGCCGTGGTGCTCAGACAGCACGTCATTATCAGACAGGCTCTCAAACAAGCCGTGGCGGCCAAAAGCAAAGTCAGCGCACAGGTGAGTGACACTCGGTCTCAGAAACAGGGTGAGAATTTGAGCACTGTAGGCGATTCCAGCCATTTTGCTAACACCCTCTTTCCAAAACCTCAACCTCCAAAGACATGTCAGCAAACCCAGTGTCAGCAGACCAGAACGAGTGAAATGATTCACAGAGAGAAAGTGTTTCTGATTGGCTAGTTTTGTGATTGGCTGTTAACAGAGCCTAGGGCTATAAAAATCAAAATAGCTATCAAGATTTTTCAGGACACCTCTTTCAGTATAGATATATACAGTATAGTTAGACATTTACATGCCTAGTTATAGTCAAACTACAGTCTTCGTCTGCCTGTCCAACATGACACAATTCCAATTCCACTTAACGATTCAGATTCCTTAATGATATTTAGTACTTTTAAGGAATAATTATATTTGAAATAAAAGAAAAATATAGTGGTTTTTTTTCCAAATATAAAAAAAAAAAGAAATGGAAATTTTATTAAATAAATAAATGTAAAACAATTATCGGAAAATGTGTTTACACAGACTTTTTAATGACTTTTCAGTCTTTTTAGAGGCAGTTTAAATCCTATAATTGACTATGTATTAAAATAAAAATGTGGTAAAATATTTTATTTATTAATGTTTATAAAATACCACCGACAAAGCACATAATATATATCTTTATCTATAATTAATTAATTAATTGTATATAAATTAATAATTAATAAAATTATCAATAATTATTCATTTATTTTTTTACAATTGTGGTATGTTGGGGATCTTAGAATATATACATAATTATTTTTCAAAACTTTTTAAAATAGTTTTCAAAAAACTATGGAGCCCATAAAGGGACATGGTAATGGGAAAAATTAGATGGGAGTGAAAATTATATTTCAACGCTTTCGCGTTCACTTGCAAAACTTTTGCATCCCCCCAAGAAACTGCATTCACTCGCAAAAGTTTTGCGTTTTTGCAAGCAAATCCAAAACTGCTGATGGAAAAACTGTATTTTAACTGTGTTTTAGTGAGAGAATGCAAAGTTTATTGGCAGAACGCAATACTTTTTTGAGAGAACGCAAAAGTTTTGCAAGTTAATGCAACATTCTGTGAGGAAGGCAATATTTTTGCAAGAGAGCGCAGACATTTTGAGAGGGAATGGAAAAGCATTGAGATAGAATTTATTTCAGCCATCTCATATTTTTTCCATCACCATGTCTTCTTAGCGGCTTTGTAAACACATTTCAGTAACCGCAATAGTTGCAATAAGTTTAGTTGCAATATTCTCTCCTCGTTTTCCTTTGATAACCATTTCAGATGTGTTCATCTTGCGTAAGATCACTCTAAAACATTTTTACCCAAACATTTATTCAGCAACCGACAAACCTTTCTCACTGACGGCCCTCTTGTGGGGGCAGGAGGAGTTTAAACAGCAATAAGGCACTCCAGTTGCTAGAGTATGTTAGCGAGATCAGGAGGGCAAGTGCTCATGAAATATTGAACATGAGCAATGGTGGAGCTTGTTCAGCTTTTGCATAACGGGACGACATACTGAACTTTCCACTTTAACACTGAGTTTCCCATCGGCGCAAGACACTTACACACACGCATTATTCATCAAAGCTCCATCTCCACTTATCCCCTCCTCCGCAGTGTGTAAAATACTCCACCTTAGGTTTATGCTGGTAAGGCGTAGGTGTGTGTGTGTGAGTGTGTGTTTATGACTGTGGTTGTGTTTGGTTCACGCAGTATTTGTGGAGATCAGAGAGGCCTTTGATAAGTGGAATACGAACATGTTATTTATTCCTAAAGGGGTAATCGAGCTGCTTGATGGGGCTCCTGTGAAGTTTTAAAGGCAGGGTCCTGGAGGAGCTATTACATCTTATACTTTCAGGCATGTAACCTCACATTAAAGCACTACAGTGTGATGCACATGTAAAAATAACCTAACTACACACTGCCATAAGCTGTTAATATGTGCTGTCACATTGAATGATAATATTTTCACATCTAAATGACCACATCTCTCCTGCATATGTGTCTGTTGCTAAATATACTGTATGTGCTCTAGAAACATTCAGTGAATCCATGCTCTGGATATCTGGGAGAGATGCGATATTAAAGTCTGTGTTTACTCAATACAGGTGTTTGTATGTTCACCCAGACCGCCATATATATGGTAATGTGCCCTTCAGTGTAAAGTGCCGTTGACACTGATGCTTGTGAAACTGGCTCTGTACTTTATTGCTTAATAACAGGACAGTGTGTGACGGAGAGAGAGTGTGCCTGAAGTGTGAGGTTAGCACTAGCTGGGTTTCAATTCATGTATTATATTCATCACATAAACAATAGTTTAAAAAAAAAAATCCCAAAAATTACAATTCCAAAAAGAAACAAAACAAGTTCTTACTTGAGGTGGTTAGATTATTATTTAGCAAAAAGACAAATATGAAGTCTTACACATGACATTCAGGAATAAAAAACTAAATTTAGCTAAAATTAAAATGAGGGAACAAACTAGTACACAGTGGCCTCAGTTTAGCTAAAATAAAGGAGTGAATTAATCATATCTGGACCAAACTAAACTAAAACGATTAAGCGAATTAATAAAATGTGGCCACAAATTAAGTTAAAGGAACAAATTCTTAATTCATGGCCACAATATCTATTTTTTTTTTGTATGTCATGCATAAACTATCACACATTTACCAAATAAATTCCTAGATGTGCATCAAAAAGTCATGCCTTAGGTTTTTGTCATATTTAAATTTTTTACATAAATTAAACTCACAGTCAGGATGGAAACAGGGCAAGTATTGAGGAAGATACTTCGAAATGTAGCTATTATTTACTCTAGTTTAAAATACTTAAAGAACAGTGAAAATATTATTATTATTTAATATATAATAAGCAATGAAAGTAGGCAGTCTTTGTAATGCATTAAATAGGCAATATCTTGGAAACTATCAGATGATATATATTTTTACAGTCAGAACAGTATTTATTTGGCATAAAAAGAATGTGGATTGTGACTGCATTGAACATGAATTGGTAAACTGGTAAATAATATAGTAGTAAATCTAGAAGCACCTGAATTTATTTAGCTCAAAAATACAGTGACAAATAGCATAATGTAACTACTTTAAGTATTTTGCTACAAATAACATGTAAATATTGTAAATGTTAGAGAATCATTTTAGTGAATTATTTTAAACAGATTCATTTATGTAATACACCAGACTTCTACTGAGAACTCAATTCATGAGTTTGTATGAAACAGGACAGACAGTATGTTGATTACTGTAGGCATTCTATGCAACAAAAAAGCAGCATTTATAATGTTATAATAATAACATTTTATAATGTCACACTTCTACTTACTAGAAAAGTATAGTACTTTGAAAACAGCTGAACTACAGATACTAGTGAAAATGTAGTTACGTTTGTGGCATTGAAGCTTTTATCTATACTCTCCAACACTGATGGTTAGAGCATGTGTGTATGACCTTTCCACAGTTTTTGAGTTTTGAAAGCTAGAGCTTCACAAACAGTAAAGTCCTTGGTTGAGTTCAACAACTATAGAGCTTAGCTTCTGTCGAGAATCGATCAGAATCTTTGTGACATCCACGGCATTCTTCAGTCCGGTGTGTGATTATCTGTGTTTAAACTCTTTTTGTTTGCGCTTTTCTTTTCAAGGGCACAATGCTGAAGAAAAGGGGTTTTGCACTCTTATTCTTTCCTTTGCTTGTCCATTTTTTTTCTCCCCTCTCAGTGATCAACAGCTGTCGACCCAGATACAAAGGACATGTCACAGGGAGAATGGCCAATTAGGCTTAAGATGGTGTTTGTGCATGTGTGTTTGTCTGTCATCTGGCTGTAAAGTGCTGTCTGCAGGCCTGATCCGAACCGACTGACTGACTGACTGACTATGATTTTCCTCCCTAGACGTAACCTGTGTTCTAGGATGGTCTGTGGATGAATGAATTCAAGGAAGACTGACATTTTAAATGTGTCAAAATGCCACGCTAAGCCAAAGGTGCATGGGTGTAGATTTGAGTATGGGCGATAAGGACATGTCTCTGCTAAGGTTAAAGGACTACTGAATAATCCCTAGGAATTTTTCTAGCAATCGCTGCTGTCAGAATGTACAGTTGCAGGAAAATTTATCTGTACCCTTCAGATACATTTATTATGTATCATGGACTTCTGAATAAAATTTGATCTGACCTTAAACTATATCACAAAAATAGACAAACAGGGTCTGTCTAAACAAATATCAAATTACACATTTTAATTGTTTTGAACAGTGTAAATATTCACATTTTTTTCTGAAACTCTAATATACTGTACAGCAAGTATTAAAAGTAATATAATTATGTTTTTATTCGTAAAATAAAAGTATTTTATTTGCTTTTATAAATTAAATTAACTATTATTTGGTTACACTTTACAATAAGGTTTCATTTAGTTAATGCATTAACTAACAATGAGCAATGCATTTCACAGCATTGTTCATGTTAGTTAACAGTGCATTAACTAATGTTTAAAAATACATTAGTTAATATTGAGATTAACATTAATAAAGATGAAAATGCTGTAGTTAATTGTTAGTTCATGTTAACTAATTTAGTTAACAAATGAAACCTTATTGTAATGTGTTAGCAGTTATTTATTTTATTTATGCTTAAAGTATTTGTATGGATATGTTATTCAGTGCACAAATATAATGTTTAAATAAATATGAAATATAATTATTAAAAAATTTATTATTTATTTGAAATAAACTGGTACCTTAAGACTATTTATTTACAATAAATTAATAACTTTTTTCAAAATAAGAACTGACAATAAGGAGCACAAATTATTTCACAGTGTAGGATAAATTATATTTAATCTGTGTAGTTGGATTGACTTCAAAATGTCCTGCCAGTATTAAAACCAAACCTACATTTTTTTCAACGGTGTCTGTTCTGGTGACTGTTAACCATTTTTTATCCTGTTGGCTTCAGCACCTTCAG